CTACGGAGGGGAGAAAAAAAAAGGCTCCACAAGAGTGGAAGAAGAAGGGTAGTCGATTGATGATGGTTGATTTCGAAGGGAATCAAACTGAAATTGGTGATGTTTCTGAACTTGTAGAGAGTGCAGAGTTAGACGGCGAGGATAGTGCTGAGGGTAGCAACCTCGCCGCTGTAGTAAATACTAAGGCGGGTGGCCACGGCAAGGGCGATCAACAAAGGAGTCAGGGGCAGACCGCTAACCCAAACAAAATAGCTGCTTTGGTTAGAGCAGGTTTGGATCAAGAAGTGTGGCGAGACCGATGGCAGCGTGGAGCTTGCATAAACTGCGGCGAGTACGGCCACCAATAGTTTAAGTGCGAGAATGCTAAGGTCGCGCAGAAGATCCGCGCAGAAGATCCCTCTTAAGGGTGGGTATCATTCTTCTCAGTCTGGAGCCTCTACGAGCTCCAGCTCGGGAAACACTTAGGGCCAGTAGAAGTTGTAGCTGCTTCTACACTCGTTGAAGCGGGTGATGTACCCTCCCCGTTTTAAGAGTTGGCCGAAGCTATTGACTCCTTAGTCACCCCGCAGACGCATCCGGACCCAACTATACTCTGTCCGTTGGATGTGTCTGAAGCCTTAGAGGACCTACAAGGTGAGTGGTTGGCAAGGGACCCTTGTGAGTCGTGAGTGGCGCTAAGTAGAGGTCCTAGAGAGGAGCATTCCGTTGTGGAAGTTGGTGCGGGTGGCGGTAAGTGCGGTGCCTTCGTAGACATCGGCTCTACACGAAACTTCATAAGTCGCGACTGCGTTGAGAGGCTGCGCCTAAAGGACCAGGTGCAGCGCCTTAGTAGACCAAGAGCATCTACTTTGGCCAACAAAGAGCGCATGATGCTGGAAGACTACGTAAAGGACATGGTCTGCACTTTCTCTTACCCAGGAGGATAATTAAATCATAGAATATCATTCCTGGTGAGCGACGATTTGCCTTTCGACATGTTGTTGGGCATGTACTACCTCGAGGTTGCCAAAGAAGGTGCTAAAGCAGGAGTCGTCTAATGGGAGGACCGTAAGACTGGCAAAGTACAAAGCCAGTACGTTAATTGACTCCTATGGGTGCTTATGCGCACCTGCGTTCTATAACTATTATAAACAGAACCAAGAGGAAGGTATTTACTTAGTCTATGTCTCTGCGAAAGAGGAGGCCATTAAAACACCCCCAGAGATAGAGAACATCGTCGCTAAGTACCCTGATCTGTTTGAGGAGCCCACAAGAGTCGTAGACAAGGAGGTTGTCCATGCCATAAAGATCATCCAGGTAGCAAGACACCTAAAGGGAGAATCTATAGGATGGCTCTGGCCGAGTTGGATGAGCTTCGACGACAACTGAAAGAGCTCACAGAGAAGGGTTGGATTTGGCCTAGCACCTCCCCCTTTGGCTCACCAATTTTATTTGTTCCAAAGAAAGGGGGAACACTAAGGATGTGCATTGATTATAGAGGCCTCAATGCCATCACCGTTAAGAACACAAAACCTCTACCACGAATCGACGACCTATTGGATAGGGTGCAGGGATGTAAGTACTATACAAAGATAAACTTAAAATCCGGCTACCATCAGATTGCCATAAGACCAAAGGACCAGCACAAAACTGCATTCCAGACCAGGTAGGGTCTATACGAGTTTGTGGTGATGCCCTTTGGCCTTTGCAATGCGTCGGGTACATTCCAGCACGCCATGAATAGGATCTTCCATGACTACTTAGATAAGTTCGTCGTCGTGTACCTCGATGATATACTTATCTTTAGTAAGATTGTCGAGAAGCATTCTCAGCATGTAGACAAGGTACGTTCACTCCTCCGACAACACAAGTATAAGATAAACGCAGAGAAATCTGAGTTTGGTCGCACTCGAATCTTGTACTTGGGTCATGAAGTCTCCCCGGATGGAATTAGGCCCGAAGATGCGAAGGTGGCTAGCATACGTGACTGGCTATGACCCCAATTTGTGACCGAGGTCAGATCATTCTTGGGAAGTGCTGGCTCAGCAGAAAGGGAAAAAGTTGAGACTAGTCGAGTACATGAGCAAAAAGATGCCATCAAAGAAGTTGGCAAAGTCCACCTACGAAAGGGAACTCAACGCCCTCTACAAGGCACTTGTCCACTTGAGACATTATCTGTTGGGACGGTTTTTCTATTTGAGGACCGACCATCAGACTCGCAAGTGGATCAAGACACAACCTGTTCTCTCAGATGCACTCAAACACTGGATTGAAGTCATAGATCAGTATGACTTTGTGAAAGGAGAGTACAACAAGGTTGCTGATGCGTTGTCACGTAGGGCAGACTACCTAGGCGTGCTGATTACTGAATTTGACTTATCTGACAATGCAACTCGATCTTTGGTGGAGGCCTACAAGCAAGACCCTGTCACGATGGACATCATTCACAAACTCGAGGCCCAGGACAAGGCCACATCTGACGAGTTTGTGATGGTGGATGGGTTGCTCTTTCTTGAAAAGGTAGGATTCAAGAGACCAGTAGTTCCATATAGGGAGATTTTGCGTAGTTTATTTTTAGGAGAGTGCCATGACGCGACAGGTCATTTCGGCTACAAGAAGGCTTCTACTAACTTAGTACAATGCTTTTGGTGGCCTAACATGCTAGACGACGCAACGACTTACGTACGGACTTGCCAAGTCTGTCAGCGGAACAAGCTGCGGACTCAAGCCCCACTTGGGTTATTGAAGCCTCTACCCATTCCTGCTGGTCCAGGACAAAGTGTTTCCATGGATTTCATGGATACACTGGTGACCAGCAAGAGAGGCAAAAGGCATATCTTCGTCATAGTAGATAGGTTCACCAAGTATGCTAGACTAATTGCCATGCCGGAGACTGCCATGACTGAGTACGTCATTAAGTTGTTCATGAACAACTGGGTGCTTGACTTTGGACTTCCAAAGACCATTGTTAGTGATAGAGATGTCCGGCTTACTAGTGAGATGTGGAAGAAGGCCACTGAGTAGATGGGCAGCCAGCTTCAGATGACTTCTGGGAATCATCCCGAAGCAAATGGGCAGGCTGAACAGATGAACCGTGTGGTGCAGCATCTGCTCTGGCATTGCATCAAGCCCAGCCACGATGACTGGGATGAGAAACTACCTCTCATCGCCAGTCTGTACAACAATGCTGTACACAGCACCACCGACGTCAGTCCTAATCAACTGCATCTGGGATGGAAGCCTAGATCTGCTCTAGACTTCCTCCTGCCTGAAAACCGAACTGCTGCAACTCTTGGAACCATCGAATTTGGTGTCCAGTATGAGAAATTTTTGCAGCAGACTGTCAAACACATCAAGAAATCTCAGGAAGCCATGATTGCTTCTGAGAGCAAGCATTGCCGACAGTCCACATTTCAGGTAGGGGAACGTGTCTGGGTCAAGGCTAGTGAGTTGGGACAGGAGTTTGGCATCTCTAGGAAACTAATGCCTCAGTATTTCGGTCCCTGGGAAGTCTTAGACATTGTGGGTAACGATTTGGATGGTCCCTCGTACGTCATTCGTATCCCTGGTCACCTACACACTTACCCTGTTTTTCACGCCTCCAAGCTTGCACCTTTCGCTGAGACAGCACGGTCCCCATCACGGAGATCTATGCTGCCCCCAACCATGGATGGCCACGTGGACATCGACAATATGCTGGAGCACAGAGATATGCTTGTTCCCAAGCCAGCTGGCAGGGGTAGACCGCCTAAACCTGCAAGGGAGTACAGAGTATGGTTCAGGCATCATACGGATCCTAAGGAAGATCGATGGTTTACGAGGGAGGAACTAGTCATGACAGCTCCTCAGATCGTGGCCGAGTATGAGACGAAACTAAAGGGGAAGGCACCAGCATGAAGCATCTCAGCGGACTTTCGAAGCTAAGGGGGATGGAATGCGAGGAACGAGCCCTCACGGGGCCCTATCAGACATACATGTTCTGGGCAAAGGCCCCCAGCAAGCCGAGTGCCCGCCCTAAGTGAAGGCGGGCCTTAATATTCATCAGAGGCCAAAATTTGACACTTTCATATGTGGGTATTCAGGCTCTTGCAACACACCAGTTGGTTGAGCGGACGTGTGGTCTCACTAAGCTGCGTCGTACAGTTGGCCCAGGCCTTGGCAGTTGCACCTGGGCACATACACAAAGCAGGGCCGATACATCGTGAAACGGCCACCGGCCTATGCAAACGCAGTACTGTCGACACACCTACCCCAGGGCCCCGCACAAATGCAGCAAACGGCCCAAGTCCGGAGACTCAGGCCGTGCCCAAGACTGAGGCCCAACCGGAAGCTACTGGAAGCTTCCAGCCAGGCCACACACAGCATCCAGGAGGCTGCCACTCCGATATAGGAAGTGAGGCAGCCCAGGCCAGGCTTTCTGGCCTGCGTAGGCAATGCGGACACGCTGCTGCGCTGCTGCATTGATGCTGCGCTGCGGCCAAGGGCGCTGATGGGGCGCGTAGAGGTGAAGTGGGGCGCTGCAGGGCAGCGGTGCGCTGGCAGCCATAGCCGGGCTGCTGGGCGCTAGGGGGTGATGCGGGCGATCTGGTGGTCTTCAGGGAAGGAGGCGAGTGTGGGTTAACAAGGTCTGATGAGGGTGACGAGATATGTACCTTGTGCATGAAGAGAGGTCGGTTATGGTGTTGACATCATGTACATTGGTCTTCGAGAGTCGAAGTGATCCTGTTGCGTGAACACACCTGTAGGTAGGATAGTCGGGTAGAGTAGGCTAGGCGCTGGGAGCCAGACAGCGATTGAGCGACTTTGGATACTGTGTTGGTGTGGCCTGAGGGCTTAAACATTGGCTCATTACTTCATTGTATTGCTCTATTTGGATGGATTCTCGGTGCAATCGTGCTCTCTGCTTGTACACGACTTCTTGGACATCTGTGTGATTTCGCAATTTCGTTTTCTGTATATTGTTCACACTCATATTCCTTGCATTTGATTATACTTTTGATTATATGCTTTGTCATGTGCAGAGAGCCAAGTCTGTCTAGGGAAAGACGGAACCTTTTATGCAGCTGGACTGGGGGTTCACTTCCCTGCTGGAGATGGGTGCAATTTCTGCACATGTGAACCACCAGGTGGCGCTGGGCTACCTGCCATGTAAGTACTATGTGCTATGTACAGAATCTACATGTGGGAAAAGGGAAAAAGGGAAAAAGGGATAAAAAAGGAAGCATAGTTCCAAGTTTGAATTTTGCTTTGTACATCCTGGCCAGAGTGTGACGTAACATAGTGGTAAAGTGCCACATGATATGGTGTCTGTTTTATGACTGCCGGCACTTGGGCACAGAGGTGAGGACGAGGAGGTGGGTTAATAAATGGAGTAGAGGAGGATGCTGTGGGGTTGGACTGTTGCAGTGCACACTGGGGCACGAAGGAGCGAAGAAATTCTGGGAGGAGGAGGGGGAAGGGAGGAGAAGGAGGAGGAGACCGCAGATGCGGACAGCAAAGGGGAGGAGTATTAGTAGCACAAGGGAAAGTATTGGAGGAGCAGGAGGATAAATGTGGCAAGACGAGGAAAGTGAAGACTGAGGCGGTGAAAGCAGACAAGAGAACAAGGAGGAAAAGGAGTAGAAGCTGTCATTTGACTCATTACCAAAAAAACAAACAAAAAGGGGCAAAAAAAAAAAAACGGACTCATTACCGTAGCAGAGTGGTACCGATAGTAGGGTTGAGAAATCAGAATAAGAATAGCCATACACTATTACACATAGTTCAGACTATTCTGAGTGATTCTATTGTCTTTATCTGATTCCATCTTCTTAATTTTTGGACTTGTGTGTGCATTTCAACAGTTCAGTGTTGTACCAACCGAGCTTAAAACGAAAAAAAAAGAAAAGAAGAAGTACGGGAGTACGGGAGCAATGAGAAGGAGACTGGGAATATGGGACTATGGGAGCATCATTGAAATGAGATGAATGGGGCTGGGACCAATGAGGACAGGGTTGAAAGAGGGAGAAGGAGAAGCTTAAGGTTGGCCAGCATAAATGTAGGGGGAAGAGGTCTCAAGGACAGCGATAGGCAAGAGGTAGAATGTGAGTAGGAGGAGGAGGAGGAGGAGGAGGAGGAGGAGGAGGAAGAGGAGGAGAAGGAGGAGGTTGCAAATGAAAAGTGGATTTGGAAAAAGGGAGAGAAAACCAAATGGGCAAGTGATGGAGAATGACAAGAGGAGGGAGGTAGGGATCAGGGTGAAGGGAGGAAGACAACTAGGAGGCGGAGGAGGAGGACGGGTAAGAGGGGAGGGTCGGATGAAAAGAAGTGCAAATACCTCTGTCCACCGGGAGTTACATCTGATCTGGTATGGCCAAGAATTGCCAAATGTGGAAAGCTTGTATGGCCAGGAATTGCATTCCATTCTTTCCAAATTTGGGACTCACTCTGCTACAAGGGCCAACAATTGTAAAAGCAATAATCGGCTCCCCTTCCTCTGTGCGGGAGCTCTAATCTGCTCCATGCTGTTTCTTGTCTCTTCCCTTTGGAAGTCTTCTCTCTCTCTCTCTCTCTCTCTCTCTCTCTCTCTCTCTCTCTCTCTCTCTCTGTCTCTCTCTCTCTCTCTCTCTCTCTCT